GTTCTATGGCCCTTTTTCGATCGCTGCCCGTGTTGGGCCCGTGGCTTATCGACTTTGCTTACCATAAGGGACGACCATCCATCCGGTGTTTCATGTTTCTCAGCTTCGCCACGCGATTGGCAGTCGCCAGTCTACATCTACGGTTCTGCCACAGTTGTCGGACAATTTGGAGATGTATGGCACACCAGCAGCTGTTCTGGGCATGCACCAGCGTGTGGTAGGAGGGCATTCTGAGTCTAGGTTTTAATCTAGTGGGAGCATCTGCCGGCGCATGATGCAACCTGGGAGTCCTATGGGGCCATCGAACGTCAGTTTCTTGATTTCCACCTTGAGGACAAGGTGCGTCTTTGGGGCGGGAGTAATGATAAGCCTCCTTTGCGTTTTACCTACGTGAGGAGGAAGACTCGGGAGAGGAGAGTGGCTGATGCAGGGAAGGGCAATGGAGACATGGGTCTGGGAGGTATTTCTGGACAGGGGGATGAGTTGGCAGGGCAGGGAGCTGAGTTGGCAAGTCATGTGGGAGCTGGCAAGTGAGTGGTTGTTCTGTAGGTTTAGGGGGGAAAGTTAGTTTCGGGAATAAGAATTGTATAAATAGTAGGGGAAGGGGTTTCATTGGGGCATCTTGAATTTCCTAAGACAACTTAGAATTGGGAGTGCACGGGGTCACTCGAACACCCCCATACCTAGGTCATTGATCTAGTAATTTTTCTGCCATTGATTCAGTTTTCTGAGCTCGAGTTGTAACTCGTTGTGCATAATTCAAGTAATATATTTACTGGAATTGTTTAGATTCTATACGAGCTTATCAAAATCGTCCCTGGTACAATAGACGTTGGCCATCCAACGCATAACCGGGTGGCCCTGCTCCTCCCCTCAGCAAGGCTGCTCGTATCTTCCCCAACTCCTCATCGGCCTCGCTCTCCTGTCGTAAAGCCTCCCAATCCAACACCAAAGGAACTGACAACGTCGACAACTGAGGCTCCTCAACCCTCCTTGATAGGGCGTCTGCCGCCTTATTTTCCAACCCAGGGCGGTATTGTATCTCAAAATCGTAACCCAACAGCTTTGAAAGCCAACGCTGATGTTCCTCCGTCACCATACGCTGCTCCAGCAGAAATTTTAAACTACGCTGATCCGTACTAACTATGAAACGCCGTCCCAGTAAATAAGGTCGCCACTTCTAAATTGAGAGCACAATCGCCATGAGTTTGCGCTCATACACCGATTTGAGTCGCGCTCTAGCTGTTAACACCTGACTGAAATAGGCGACTGGTCTCTGGTTCTGCATGAGTACTGCACTCAAACCATACCCTGAAGCATCAGTTTCAACTACAAATGGTTGGCTAAAGTCTGGTAAGGCCAACACTGGAACGCTAGTAATCACTTTCTTCAACTGCTCAAAGGCCTGAGTCGCTGCCTCCCCCCACTGAAAACTATCTTTCTTTAATTGTTCTGTCAAAGGCCACGCAATCGAACTATATCCCCTAACGAACTTCCGATAGTACCCTGTGAGCCCAAGAAACCCCCTCAACTCCTTCAACGTCTTAGGTAATGGCCATTCCCGCATTGTCGCAACTTTAGATGGGTCTACTGCAACTCCCTTTGCCGACACTACGTGCCCTAAATATTCTACCCTCGTTTGAGCAAACAGGCATTTCTTTCGATTAGCATAGAGCTGTTGGCTTCGTAACTCCGTCAACACCCTCTCCAAATGGCGGACATGGTCTTCCAATGTGCTACTATAAACCAGGATGCCAACAAAAAATACCAAAACAAACTTACGCAAATAGGGTTGGAAGACTTTATTCATCAACGACTGAAAAGTGGCTGGGCCGTTGGTGAGGCCAAACGGCATGACTAGGAATTCATAATGACCCTCATGGGTCCGAAATGCAGAATTTTGCAAACTTATCCAACACCGTTTCCTTATTCAATGCCCGATAGTCAACACAGAATCTCCAACTCCCATCTTTTTTCTGCACTAATAAAATAGGGCTCGAAAACGGGCTCACACTCGGCTGTATTATTCCTGCCTCCAACATCTCGTTGACCAATCTCTCGATCTCATCTTTCTATACCTGTGGGTAGCGATACAGCCGTACACTCACTGGTGATACCCCTTCCTTCAACACAATCGCGTGCTCGCGTTCTCGCTTCGGGGGTAACCCTTTGGGCCTTTGGAAGACATCCTCAAACTGTTCCAACAGCTGCTGAAACGACTTTGTAACACTCGTCGTCGCCTCATTCCACTCTCCTATGATATGCAACTCAACCAAGAAGCCGAGCTTACCATCCTGAATCGCCTTAACCATGGTTTTGAGGGTCACTAGGGTTTTGCACAAAACTTGGATCTCCACGAAGCACTATAGTGTGACCTCCCTCCTGAAACTCCATTGTCAAGAGCTTCCAATTTACCCTCGTCTCACCCAATGACTGCAACCACTTCATTCCCAGAATGATGTCTGTGCTACCCAAATCCAAAGGAAGAAAATCGTCCAACACCTGAATTCCTTGGAGCATTAAAATCAGCCCTCTACAAATTCCTCTACTCCTCTCCACGGTACCATTACCCATGACCACCCCAAGATTGCTGTTGTCGACTAACCGAAGTCCTAATCTCTCCACCACTCGATTGGAGATGAAATTATGAGTTGCTCCACTATCCATCAACACCACCACATCTTGCTCTCCAATTTTCCCAACCAACTTCATAGTGTGGTTCGGTGTGAACCCCACCAACGAGTTGAGCGAGACCTCCGCCACATCCAAATGAGGATGCTCCTCCTCCTCTATCACATCTCCTATAGTCTCCCCCTTGTTGCCGTCATCATCACATACCGTGAGGACTTGTAATGAGCGATCCTTACACCAGTGCCCCGGAGAAAATTTTTCGTCGCTCCGGATGCACAACCCTTTCGCTCGCTTGTCTTGTATCTCTGTCTCCGTTAGACGTTTGAAAGTACCCCCTGGTCGCACTCCTCCCATTCTATCCTTCGTTGTATCCCTCTGAACCCCCAATGTCTGAGTTTTCACCCCTCCTCCTGAAATAGTATTCCGGTATTGGAAAACACCGGAGTTACTTCTGTTAGCCCTCTCTGTCTTATTCTCATCCTCAATCATTTGGGCCAACTCCATGGTCTCGCCAAGCCCCCTTGGCCTCAACAACCGCACCGCCGCTCGAATCTCCGGTTTCAGCCCCTTCATAAAATTTTCCTCCAATACTGCCTCCGAGATTCCCCTCAAACGCCCCGAGAGCAATTCAAACTTCTCTCTATCATCCATAACGGTCCCCTCTTGTGTTAGAGCAAAGAACTACTCGTGTAAATCCCCCTCCTGGGTAGCCCTAAAGCGCTCGATCACTCGGTCTTTAAACTCTTTCCACGACCTTATTGGTTGTCGTTGTTCCCGCCATTGAAACCATGACAACGCGCCTTCCAAACACAATGCCCCTGCCATCAACTTCTCTTCCTCCGTCAACCCGTTGATAGCAAAGTACCTCTCAACTCGGTAAAGCCATCCATAAGCATCTTCCCCTTCAAATAGTGGCATCTTTAATTTCCTCACTCTTGAATCCACGCCCCAAATGTTTTGATTATTACCGACACCTCCCATGAAACGTGGGTTTTGGCCCCGCCCATACCCCATCTGCCAATCACCCTCAAAATCTCCCTATCGTCCAAAAGTAGCCCCTGTCCTTGGAGGAAAATCACCTCCTCTATTCTGCCCAGCCACAAAAGGTCCAATTTCCACCGGATTGTCCCTCTACCGAGGTCCCAACGCCCAAAATCAACCTGCCCAGACTTAAAATCTCCAAACCCAGCCCTAAAATCCCTAAAATTGGCTCCATAAGGTCCCAAATCGCCCCTCCGCTCTTGTCCAAAACGCGCGCCGGCGCCTTCCACCGCCCAGGCCTCGCCGGCGGCCCGCGGAGCTCCCC